GAGAGAGAGAGAGAGAGAGAGAGAGAGAGAGAGAGAGAGAGAGAGAGGGGAGGGAGGGAGACAGAGACAGAGAGACAGACACAGAGAGACACACAGAGAGAGAGAGAGATAAAGACAGACAGAGAGAGACAGAAAGAGAAACAGAGAGACTTTCCTGTATACTGCCAATGTCAACATCCCTGATCTACAAGATGACCCCACACTGTGGGAACTAAAATTGTGTCTGGACATTGTGAAAGGTCCTCTAAGTAGTTAAGTGACACATCTTAAGAGCAACTCATTCAAATCCTTCTCACTAAGTGTCCTAGAAGGTTCCAAACAAGTTTCATTGCTCCTTCAGGCTCCTGGTGGACATTCTCTCTTAAGTCTAACTGCAACCCTGTCCCACCTGGAACTCATCATTCTCCAGTTGGTTCCTGGTTCTGTTTTCTGGGTGAGCTGTTAGATTTCCAATATTTTTTCTTCTTCAGTTATATTGTGTGCTGCCCCTCTATGCCCTCCTTATACTACACCTTTTGCTTACCTCAAAGTCTCTGAGTGTTCATTCTCAAAATACCTTCGCAGCCTTGATTCGAAATACTCTCCCGGAGGCTCCCAGTATAGCCTGTGTTTTCTTTTACCCTTGTACCAGTCCAGCATAGAGCCAGCAGGTCATCCATCAACTTCCAAATCAACCTCCCCTTGAGGTTAAACCACTGTTTACCTGTGGTACTCGTCTAATCTAAGTCCACATGTTAGCCGACATCATCTTTTTCATGTAGGACTAGGGGAGCTTACAAGGGTGTGAGGAGGGGAGGACAGCCACAATTGCTTCTCAGCAGCTAGGAAAATAAAATCCACCCACCTAATATGAACTGTGAAATGCGGCCCCTGGCTCCTTCTCATCCTCACATCCAACTCTCACCTTTTAGAAAACAATCTGTTCTGGCTACTTTGGCCTTCTTTTTGTCGGCTGTGTTTTCGGCTTATTTGTTTTCTTAGTGCTAGCGATTGGACCCCGAAGCTTGCACGCCGTGTGCTTTCTCCAAGAGCTTTTTTGTTTCTCGACTATCCTACTCCAAACTTCTTCTTATCTCTGGTCTTATGCAAGTCTTCCTCAGCCCGGAATCCCTCTCTTCCAGTGCTCCTTCTAGTTGGTTCTTCCTGCTGCTCGGGTTGTAGCTTATATAACACACATTTGTAGATAGCTTGTCTACTGTCCACTCTTAAAACACTTACGTCATCCTATTTTCTATATATCATGTACTACTCTTGAAATAAATCTTATTTATTTGCATATTTTTGCTTATTTGCTGTCTTTTTTCTTCTTTAAGAATGTAAAAAGAAGAGAGAAGGTTCTCATTGTCTTGATCATTGATGTATTTCCAGTGCTCATAAAACTTACTACCTCTTGTCAAGGGCTCTATTATATTAAAAAAGAAGTATTTATGGGAATGAAGGCTGAAAGTGCATCTCCCCAGGGATGCTCATCTATAAAGCTGTTGCCAACGCTGCCTCCCAAATTAAGCTGTCCCTAAGTGATTCTTCATGTCCCTAAGTGATCATTTGCTGCAGACAATTCTTACAAAGCTTGTCTAGGTGTTTAACAACTTGGGTCCATGTCATTATCTCTCTGGATTAACGTAACATGCCATGAAAGCAGGAATTTTGTCCTGTCCAGTTTCTAATCCCCTTTGGCAGCTCCTAGTACAGTTTCCAGCACACTAAATTATAAGAATAACTATTCTGACTTGAAAACAAAGCTCTTGCCATGCAGGAGCTGAGAGTTAATAATGATGTCACATACAGGCAAAGATACCAAATAATGGAAAACTACATGGTTACATGTGAAGGCACAGTGCTCGCCAAGCTGACATGCATCCAAAGCTTTCACATTTGATGGTCACAGGTAACTAACAGCACATGCTTCTCTTAAAAGGGAAGAAACCCAAGTGTTGGGACAGATGTCTACAGACCATCTAATATCTTATGTATGTATGTGACTGAATACGTCCTGAAGATAAGATTCTTTCTCTCTCCCTTACTCACTCCCCTCCCTTCTTTATTTTGATCTATCATCTATCTATCATACACATATGCATATATTTGAGACAGGGTTTCTCTGGGTTGTCCTTGCTGTCCTGGAACTCACTCTGCAGACAAGGCTGGTCTCGAACTCAGAAATCTTCCTGCTTCCACACCTCAGTGCTGGAAGTAAAGGCATACACCACCATGCATATTCAGTAATTTATATGGAGAATCTGTCACTTACTTTTATTAGACAGGCTTTCTTTGTTCTGAAATCTGAGCTAAGTTGGAGTTTAAACTAGGGACTCAGAAACATTGTTACATATTAGAAGCACCTGGGAAGTTTTGAACTTCTGGGACTCAGAAAGCTCTGTACATAGTTAGACACACACATCTGAAGGTAGGAATCAGGCATTAGTGTTCGAAGCATCAGAGTCTCAGGTGATTCCTGGAAGTTTTTCCAGAGGAGAAAAATGTTCAATGAACCACTCTATTAGGTGCTTGTTATTTCCTACTATTACCACTAGATGGCGCTAAAGCCCGAACAGTGGAGAAGTTTAGTACTTTTCCTTGAAGGAGCAGAGATCAAGGTTTGCAGTAATTATTTTAATGAAATGCTACAATGTATTGTGAGGCAGTGGTGGATATGAAATGATTTCAAATTAATTTTAAAACAGGGAGCCGATTTTTCCACAGTTTGCTGTCTAGATCTTCACATAGGGGCAATGGTGCTGGCATTTTATAGATTAAAAACCCAAGGACAGAGAAACTACAGGTGAAGGAGGATGCTGCATATCCCACAAAATTTTCTGGGCGCTGCTGGGTTCTCGGCACTGAGGCCTTTTTTGTTTTTTCTGTGCCAGGTTGTCGAGTTTGCGACTGAGCTAAGGCAAGCTGTCCTTACAACCGCGGATTCAGATGCTACTGTGGTGTGCTCCTTTCCTGGCTGCTGACTTCCCTTGTAGTCAGTGGCTATCTTCTGTTCACTTCTGTCCTAAAGCCCAACCTAACAGTGAAGAGAGTGCTTCCAGTGTGAAAACAAAATGAAAATGTTGTTTCTAAGCTGCTGCAGCAACTAGATTCAGTTTACAAATTTAAAGGGAAAAATATGCACATCATTTTAAGACTAGAATTTCAGGGGCCAGGAGATGACCTTAATTAAGATGCATAGAGTTCTTGCAGAGGCCTGGTTTTCAGTTCCCAACTGCCATGTCTGGAGGCTCACTCTAATTCCAAGAGTGGTATCAATAGAACTCCACTTACACATGTGCACACACACACACACACACACACACACACACACACAAACATAATTAAAAATCAAATCATCTTTAGTTGCATTTAGTGCATGCCTTTAACTCCAGCACTCAAGGGGCAGAGGCAGGAGGATCCCTGTGAGTTCAAAAGTAGCCTGGTCTACATAGTGAGTTCCAGTACAACCAGTTCAACATAGAGAGAGCCTGTCACAACAAGAAGATACAATCTTTAAAGGTGTAAAATAGAGTCCCATCACTTTGTTCACATTCAGGTCTTCAGCAGACTCTGAAGTCATTAGTAGACTTCTGTACCAGCTTCAGATCTCACTTAGTGACCACCACAATCAGTCTCTTGAGCTATGGCAGAACTCTGATGGATATTTTCTTTTTTTAAAATTTTATTTATTTATTTATTTACTTATTTATTTTTTGTGATGGATATTTTCAAGCTGACAATACCACTGAGCCAAGAGGAGGACTTGGAAATTTTTCCGTAAAGGAAGCCTGGCTGTTTTCTCCCAGGACTTTCTATTCTGCCTGCTCCTCTGAAATGCAAGGCTCTTGACAGATGGAAACAGTATGTGTCCCAGACACTTCAAATATAATATTATTCTAACATTCATCTTACTAGTGTAACAAATAATAATGACCTTCCAGGTCTCTTTATCTTTTCCCAAACGTGCTGCATGAACTAGTTAGAGATGTTTTGATGCTTTTCTAACCTTACTAGTGACCAGGAAAAAGTCCCTGCCTGTTAGTGGTTCACTGGTACTGTGGTACAATGATGTCAGTGAGTTCAATAGTCAACTTTGGTTGTGACAACCAAGATGCGCTAATGTATCTATTTCTGCACATGTCTTCATGGTTAGAACTTAACTGGATAAAAACTACATTTATGGTCCCTCTTCTTTCTCCTGAATCTCACTATAAAAGCCACTACAAGCTTAAGGACAAAGCAAAAGACTTTACAGAGTGATCAATGCAGAGAGCAGGGTGTGGACTCACCAATTCTCGGTAAAGAGGGTCTAGGGTGAACCACAGTGCCACAGCACAGCGCTGGCCTTTGGTGACCGCCTTCACCCCATGGGGGTTCTCACCACCAGAGGAGAAGCTGATCATTCGCCCACACTTTGGTTTTATAGAGGCCTGACAACAAAATAAAAATTAGACGTTCAGTTCCTGTACCATGTATCCTTCTATAGTTCATTCTGTGTAATTATTCCTTTGGTTTAAAATTTGAAGCAAAGAACGATAGGGGGTCTTCATGATGAAATAAAAATTGATTCTCATTTTTTTTACCTGTAAAATATAAATAGTTTCAAAATAAGAGTTTCTTTATATAATAACACTTAAGAAACCTGTGTGGCACATCTCATGCCCATACGAATCATGTGGTGTGTGCTGGTAACAGCCTGCCCCCAAGAACACAAACTGTCTACTGCACTACATCAGCTCTTGACACTATCAATTATTGATGCTTAACGTGGGTGTGCATTCTGATACCTGCAAAATTGGAAGGAAACCAGGACCTGAGCAGTACCAGATGAGTTTTCCTCATGGCCCAGGTCACAGTTACACGGTTTTACATCCACGGCAATTTTCCAACCAAACACCTATGGTTTATGTAGTTGTCACTGTATGAAGCTTTAAATTCATTTCCATTACATTATTCTTGTCCATGGGTCATACAGGCATCAGTGGTTGCCTCCAATGGTGAGGGCACACCACCCCTTGTGCTGACCCACTCACAATTCCAGAGGACTGAAATGACACAATCAACAATTCAAAGCTTGCCCGTTGCTCAGCTGTCTGCTGACCTGTTGGCAGGGCAGTCAGTGCAGTCAGGGAACTGCTGCGGCCACCGAGCTGAGAATCTTAAGTCTGGGCAAGCGTAGATTACCAAGTGTTGGAGGCTGAGGTCTTGTGTTTTAACGGTGTGTAATAGGATTAGATGCCATTTTGCATACTTTAGGAGATAATGAGAGCTTACTCATTCTGTTGAGGTTGGATAAGTACAGACAGCACAGCAGCAGCCATTGTGTGTGTGTGTGTGTGCACATGTGCGTGCGTGCGTGCATGCGTGTGTGTGTGTGTGTGTGTGTGTGTGTGTGAATATGTGAAGACAGGGACATTTTACAGCTACGGGACTGTTTCTTTCTAACCTTCTTAGAAACATATCTGAATTTTTTTCTAGTCCTTGAATGCTATGTAAGATTATCTTGTCCTGTGACTGAGAGTGGGAAGCCAGATATAGGCAAAATCAAAATTAAGAACCCAAGTGTGTGTGTGTGTGTGTGTGTGTGTCTGTGTCTGATTGTATGTGTGTGGGTCATACACATATGTGCTGGTGTTCATGAAATCCAGAAGGTGTGGTTCCCTGGAAGCTGGAGTCTGAGGCAGCTGTGAGCCACCTGATGTGGGTACTGGGAACCAAACCTATCCTTCATCATCCAATGCTGGGAAGGAAGAAAGGAAGGACTATGTCCACTTTTCTTGAGATTGGATTAGGTATGTTATGGGAAAGCAGATAAATGAGAATTCATAATTTTTCAGAACTCCTACCTGATACTTTTAATTATCTACAATAGCATTAAAACTCTGCTCCATGAAGTGCTATTGAGCTTTCCCGTTAAGAGTTTAACGCTTTCGTTTCATTCACTTTGTGGAAGGAGGTAGATTCTGGGTTTGAGGTAGATGCCTCAGTTATTAGGACTGTAGAACTGTGCAAGGGGGACATCCCCATCCCTTCCTGCTTTCACAGGTAAAAGCAGCAGGATGGGACTTAACTTACACCCAACAAAGACATACAGCCAGCCCCTGTGCTGTCAACTATGGGGCACTTCAAAATATGACCACTAGATGGAGTAGAAGCAAAGAAATCTGCAACCATCGGTCTGATTTTTTTTTTTTTTTCTGGAAATTGATGATTTTTTTTTTATTGGATGTTTTATTTACATTTCCTATGTTGTTCCCTTACCCCATCCCCCACCCACCCAGGAACCCCCAATCCCCTCACCTCTCCTCCTTCTTCTCTGTGGACGTAACCTCTATCTATCCTCCCACTCCCACCTCCCCACCCTCAAATTTCCCACCCCCTGGGGCGTCCAGCATTCATGAGGTCAAGGTTCTCTTCTTCCACCTATGACCAGCAGGACTCTTCACTCTTACATATTCAGCTAAAGCCCTGGATCCCTCCCTAAGTGTTCCCAGGCTGGTGGTTTAGACCCTGGGAGCTGTGGTTGGTTGGTATTGTTGCTCTCCTCATGGTGCCATAATCCTTTCAGCTCCTTGAGTCTTCACTCTAACTCCTCCATTGAGAACCCCATGGTCAGTTCAATGGCTAGTTGTGAGCATCTGCCTCTAAATATGTCAGACTCTTGAAGACCTCTGAGGAGACATCCACATCAGGCTCTTATCAGCATGCACTTCCTGACTTCCACATCAGCATCTACCTTGGTGACTGCACATGGGATAGATACTCAGGTGGAGTGGTCTTGAAACGGCCCCTCCTTCAGTTTCTGTCCCTCACTTTGTCTCCATATTTGCTCCCTTGAGTATTTTGTTGCTCCTTCTAAGAAGGACCGAATCACCCCCACTTGGTCTTCCTTCTTTATTGGGCTTCATGTGGCCTGTGAGTTGCATCTTGGGCATTTCAAGGTTCTGGGCTAATATCCAATATTCAGTGAGTGAATATCATGTGTGTTCTTTTGTGATTGGCTTACCTCACTCAGGATGATAATTTCTAGTTCCATCCATTTACCTAGGAACCTCTCGAATTCATTGTTTTTAATAGCTGAGTAATACTCCATTGTGTAAATATACCACATTTTTTGAATCCATTCCTCAGTTGAAGGACATCTGGGTTCTTTCCAGCTCCTGGCTATTATAAACAAGGCTGCTATGAACATAGTTGAGCATATGTCCTTGTTATATGTTCGAGCATCTTCTGGGTATATCCCTAGGAGTGGTATAACTGGATCCTCAGGTAATGCTATGTCCAATTTTCTGAGGAACCGCCAGGCTGATTTCCAAAGTGGTTGCACCATCTTGCAGTCCCACCAACAATGGAGGAGTGTTCCTCTTTCTCCACACCCTCACCAGCATCTACTATCACCTGAGTTTTTAATCTTAGCTATTCTGACTGGTGTGAGATGGAATCTCAGGGTTGTTTTGATTTGCATTTCCCTGACGACTAAGGATGCTGAACATTTCTTTAGGTGCTTCTTGGCCATTCGAGTTTCTTCAGTTGAAAATTCTTTGTTAAGCTGATTTTTCTATCAAGTGATTTAAACTAGGAGCCTTTTTTTCTTCTTCCGTTTTCATGTTTTCTAAGCTTGGAAATAGAATGTTTTGCACACATAGCCGGTCCCTTTACAAGTGAGAATCCTTTACTGGAATTTAAACCTCAGCCCAGATCATCAATCTTGGTTTGGATTCTCAGAGTATGAAGCCTCAAACTACTTACTGATTTATCTTCCTTTTAAAACAGAGCATGTCAGCACATCTGTTTGAACATAACATCGGTGTATTCAGTTTCATAAAATATTTTAAATTATACCTGTGTTTCTGGGCTATTTCAACAACTCTCATACGAATTCTCTTCACGCCAATTATATATATATATATATATATATATATATATATATATATATATATATGTATATTCTGAGATAGTATCCACTTGTACCACCATAGAGTCCCACGAATATTTCCATAATGAGAAAAATGGGCAAACTAAGATTGAATGCACAGAAAACAAGGAGAGAGTTTGAAATTTTCTTACCTGTGCCAAGCCCTTCATGCACATGTCTCAATTGCTTAGATTTTGCAGGAAGAAAGAGACCTTGTAATCAATTTATAATTCATAAGTTTTTCTTTTTGTGATTTAGCGTTCTGATAGTGACTTTAACCTTTGGCGTAATGATCAAAAGAGTCTAACTATATTGTCTGTGTGTGCTAAGGATGTTGATTTCTGAAGGCATTTTTTTGATTGTGAATACAATTATTGATATTTGATTTAAATATCTGTGAATATAAATACCATTTAGAGGCAAAAGTTCTGGCGTATACTTAACTGTATATACCAATGTGCAGGCACATATGTAAGCATCTGGAAGTTCATGCTTAGTCTAAGCACTCTGGCTACTGGAAGCCATTGATTTGTCCTTGATGTGGATGACTTAGGATCTAAGGCTGGAAGATTCCCATCGGGTTACTTGACAGAAACTCCAGGCTTTGAATCCATAGTTAACATCGTTTAAATGATGAAGTCCTTAAAAATCCCTATTTCTCAATTTGCTCATCTTTAAAATGGACTAAAATGGTAACTTATGCTTTAGTATTTTTATTATGTATAGACCACTGGAACCTTCTTTACTCCTTGAGATCTTGAGCTCAGAACTATTTGAAATTCAGCAATCTGTAAGATCCGGGGAAGATGGTAATACTGAATTAAAAATACTAAGCCACTTTTTAGGAAGAAGGTTACTTACAGTCACAGTTTTAGCATCCATTTCTGTGAAGATGAATTCTCCTCCTTCAAAGTCGTCATTCATATACAGGAGAGCACTGTAGGGGGAGGGGCAGGGCAATCAATGACAATACAGTCCTCAACAGCATCACAGTAACATATGGACAGCTAGTGAGGAAGGGATTGGCCTGAATGGGGAGTTGCCTTTGATGTTGGCCCTCTAAACCCTTGACATTAAGCTCAGGGATGCCTGGGTTATACTCCTGGTGCTTATTGGTTCATTTCCATATGGTTTTGGCCTCATTTCAAAGCTCACTTTACATTGCCAACAGCTGATCGGGCTTGATTTCAGATAGCCTCTAAATTCAGCCACATTGCTTATAACTCTCTTCTTCCCATATATTAAAGGAACCCTGGGGAATGGGTTTTCTTTTCTTAGCTTAGGTAATGAATTCCTTGTGATTTAGCCTGGTCATGCAGATAGGGATTGCAAACTAAATGTTTTGAATAAAATATAATATAGCAACTGTCATGTTGTTAAATATATTAATAATCACTACATATTAAGATACCTTGTTTCATGCTAGGATAGTTCTCTTAGTGTACAAACGTATCTCCTCACACTGTTCTTCCCTTTGGAGTTTCTGTTTTCTTTTACTTTTCCCAACATAATATTTTAGTTGAATATCTGAGAATTTCGCATCATGTACCCTGACACCCCAGATCTCCCTATCTCAAGCAGTTTCACCTATCCCCTGAAAAAAGAAGAAAAACAAAAGCAAAAACAAGTCAATTTGTGTTACCTATATACTCACTGGAGCATGGTCAAACTCCCAGTGGCCAGCCCCTTAAAGAAAACTGAGTTCTTTTGCAGTGTTTCTGTTTTCATAATGAAAAATTGTAGACACAGTTCTTGGTGAGTTTGAATAATACACATGCATGTGATAATGTGTTATGCATGTTAAGGGCACATTCATGTGATAATGTGTTATGTATGTTAAGGGACCACACCTATGAGCTCTCACGTAGGAAACACATGCAAAATCATATACCTGAGTGAAACAAAGCAATTGAGAAAGCAATTGGTCTAATTAAAAGAAGGGAACATGTGCATGACGCCTAAGATAACAATGAGAAAGATCTTTCTCAGTCATGGCTGCTCCAGGTGACTCTTGGAGAATTCTGCTTTCCCCACAATGAACACAAGGCAGCAAGCAAAACAAAGCAGCTTCCTACTTCCCACCAAAGCTTGATTAGGATTAGTCCTACCTATAGTCCCGAAAGGTGTAAGCAGGAGGTTCCTTCCAGCATTCATTGGCTTCAGGATCCAGCAGGCAGTTGTCTGCATGAATAGGGTGACTGAGGTCATTTCTTCGATCCTGCTGCCCTGCCAGGAAAAGGAACAAAGAAAAATGAGAGCAAGCAGGATGGAGAATGGCAGCAGAAACACCGCAATGTGCAAGTTAAAAGCACAGTTTGATGTTCATCTTCAGTTTCTGGCTGTCCTTTGCAAAGATGGAGCTAGAGAAGATGGTGGTGTTTTATAAAAATAGTTGCTGAGGGACTCCTGTGGCTCAGCATAACCTTGGCATGGAACTTGGGCCAAACCACACCTGTCTTTTCAGCTATAAAAGATGGAATACATATACCTGGGTAAACCCGTGCATTGTATGGCTTGCACTGTATATGGGGTTGCAAAGCCTCCAGGAAGATGTGGAGATGTAACCCCAAGGTTTTGACTTACTCTTCATGGGTGTAAAGTGCTCTGACAGTTAGTTCTTTCCACTCGCACTGAGGTGAGTGAGGAGAAGACCAAAACTATGACAACAAGTAGGAGTGAGGGGCACCTGCCTCTCAGAACTCTCCTAAATGAGCTCTTGACCATCTACACCTCTATTCTACTTGTGGCCGCAACTTTACTTTTCAGCTTCCTCAGTCTCTGAAACTCAAAGCAGAGAAGCATTTGTTTTCTGTCTTAGCAATTATGAGAAATGGACTTGAAGTCAGAAAATGTACAAAATGAGAGTCTTCCAGAACTTTAGGAGTTAAAGGGGGAAAAATAAGTTAGTAAATTTCCATTGTTTTAGAAAGCTAGAGTCCTCTTAAGTGAACATTCTAGAATGTAATAGAGCCTTGCTGTGCATTTTCTTTCCTGTGGCATGCTAGGAAGAAGGTGACAAGTTCAGGTTCCGGAAACCTACCAGACAGGGCTGTTCTGCAGACTATGTGTGTATAGGAAAAATACAGGGTTGAGTTCAGCATGAAATAGGATTCCACAATCTTCCGAGCCTTCTCGCTGATGTCATAGAACAGCCTTGCACTCTTTAGTGGCACCCGGCCTTCATAACCAAACTGAAACAACAAAAATCCAAGGACACTGGAGATCATGGGGTTGCCTGGATCGGTTGAGACAAACAGCCTCTACGTTTCATCAAAAGAATACAGACTAGCCATCTTTGCACCAACTAACAGGAAGAATAACTTTTACATACTTGTAGGTTCAGATGGAACAGTGAGCCACTGAAACCGCTCTTCTTTAACCACAGGGGGAAAGTACAGAGTTCACCACTCTCTCTTCCCATCTCCTATAATATGTTCTTCATTCTTCTCTATTAGTATTTTCAGAAAAGAGAAGAATTCCTGACTCTACAATGTTTCTATGATTAGCTCATGAGTTCCTTAAGGATAGTGATTGCATAGTTTTAGGAGAGATAGAAACTTAGAAAGCATGACGCTTGTTAAATGGATGCCTGAATGAAGGGATGGCCTGAAACAGCAGTGTGGCCAGGATTTAGCTCAGCAGCTGAACATCTGCTGAGAGTGAACCCTCAGCACCACAAGCAAGTGACAAAATCTACCGACCAAGTTTCCGTTTCACAGTTGTGCCCTTCTCAACTCTTCTTCTTCCTGAATCTGCCATTCACAAAGCCCTCTGCCATCCCCTAGGAACCCAAGGTTAAGGGAAGCAAAGAATTTACTTTGAGTGCTTTCAAAACAGTTGCTCCTTCAAACTTCTCATTGGGGGTGTGGGGTGACGTTTTCCCTCGGTATCCATCACCAACCAGCATAATTCCCTGAGGACAGAAAGAATTAAGACTCTATTAGTGACAAGTAAGAACCCTTTTGGTGCCTTTCTGCTTTGGCTTCCAGAAACTGAGAAGCCAACCCAGCACTCAGTATCATTTAACTCCACGGTTCAGGTATAACCAATGCTAACCAACAGGGGCATTTCTCTTTGATCATCAGTCCATTTTCATTGACAAAAAATACTACTTTTTCTTAAATAGACATATAATTCAAATTATCCGTATACTGGCTGATTGCTGGTTAAAATAAAGAGAATTCTCCAGTGACTTTTATGCTAGGCAGGGCACATACTGCATGGCTACTCTCCTAAGAATTAAGCCAGTGAGAGTTTCAGATCATTCTAAGCCAAAAGATACAAAAGCACCTCCACAGTTACTGTCTTCCTTTTAAGTAAAGACAATTCCAGCCCATTTCTCTAATGCAGCCATCAAAGCTCAGGACACTCTGGCACAGGGGCTGCCTTCCTCCAGGACACCATCCTGCAGGCTCAGGACCAACTGGCAAAGGGTCTTTGCCCCTCTAAGTCTTCGCCTCCAGGCTCAGGGCAGGCTAGCTTTTGGTGTTCCCCTTCTCTAGTCCTCACACTGGCCACGCTGTGAAGCTCCCGGCACTGCTCTTCCGACAGGACGTTATCTAGAAGAACCCGTTGAGTCCCATTCAGCTGTTCGGAGTTGTAGACGAAGGTAATGTTCTCATAGAGCAAAGGGCCACCTGGAGGGACAAAGCAGAATGTCTTCCCTGCTACTTCCACCCTCTACGAGGGAGTACAGAAAATGCAACAGTCGGTCTGCATTGGAGAGCACCAGAGATGCAGTCTCCATAGGAACACGGAAGCACAAGACAAATCACATACATAGTAGCAAGCTTGATAAATGTTTAGGTCTCAAACCTGGGGACAATCTGGTTACTGAGGGGCCGGCCGATCAGCATATTAAAGTGGATGGACTGTTAACCAGTCTCTGGAATACATAACCCCTACTCTGAATTCTCCTGTGCAGGAACTAGGCTAGGTATCTCTTGCCCAAGCTTCCCTTTCTTCTATAACTCAGCCATTTTAGCTAAGCTAGCCTCTTGTCCTCTGAGCTGACACTAAGCATTCCAATGTCCTGGCCTTTGGACTTCTGGCTTTCTCATCCCTCTTCTCGTCCTCACGTGTTCTGTTCACTTTGCCGGCTGTGTTTGCTTTGGACTCTCCCAGACGCCTCTTCCTGTGCTTTCCCTTATATCTATAATAAAAAACCCACCCTTTAGGTTCTTCCTTCCTTCCTTCCTTCCTTCCTTCCTTCCTTCCTTCCTTCCTTCCTTCCGTCCTCCCTCCCTCCCTCCCTCCCTCCCTCCCTCCCTCTCTCTCTCTCTCTCTCTTTCTTTCTTTCTTTCTTTTTTTCTTTATTCCTTTCTTACTATTATTCAAAAAACACAATACAGATTGAGGGAAAAGTAGATGTTTAGGTACCAGCTTTCCTCAGAGGACTATAAACATTGTATATACAATGGTTTAGCCGTTTGTTTTTGTTTGATTCTGATCTTAGAAAGCAGAATTTCACATGCTTCAACATCTTTTCTAGGAAGATACCCTTCTTCATGGTCCCTCATTTGTAGCTCTGATACAACATCACAACCAACACACTGCCTGCAGATTCTTGCTCTCTAAGTACAGTATGCATGCCTCAGATCTGGCATCCATATTTCTTCCACATGGAACTCAGACATCAGGGAACATGACATTCCCTGGTGTTCCCAACACGGTTGACAATGTGCTCTTGTATTTATGGAAATTATTTTTCTTCATGTGAGTGTTTCCTGTAGTGTTTTGAAACATTAGCTCCACATAGGCTCCTTGGAGAATGAATAAGATGGAAGAATGCAGCCTCTTTTGATGAGAAAGATGAAGCAGAGACGGAAGCAGAAACTGAACAAAGAAAGAACAATTCCTTCCTCTATTATAGTCATGAATGTAAGAACCTGATACATTCCTGAAGGTACCACATCTCCCAGAGGGAGGCCAGCCATGGAGGACACGGTCAGTCAAAGGGCATGGTTGGGGTGGGGGGTGAAAATATATTCACTGATGTATAAGGAGACACAGAAATTGATGCTTCCTTTATCGCTATGAGAAGAGTAGTCAAATGGGAAAACCAGTATTTGTTAATCTGGTTTGGATCTGAGCTCCTCCACAGTCATGGCTAATGGAATGCTGGAAGAAGTAGGCAGTTCATCAGTCTTGAGCCGTGCATCGCCATTTGTTAGAGCAGTTGCTCCTGGAGGAGCGTCAGTGCTGACAAGCTATCTTGGATGTAATTTTTCTTCCGCATGTGCAAGCATAAAGCTACGCCTGTTTTATCTATATTTATGTTTCATATAACTTACTGTCAAAAATTATGAAACTGAAGAAAAGCAGGAATGTAAAAGAAACTGTGGCCAAATCAGCAATATTGATGAAAAAGTTTGATATTATTTCTTAAAATAAAACACCAGATTCCATGTAAATATTCTCCAGAATGATTGAAACCAAGTTATTTGGGACTTTCATTTCTTGCAACATATTGCTATGTAGTGCTGTGTTTATTCCATTTTTAAATATTAAAACTACTATGAAGTCTTAGTGAATGTGCTGAATTTTACTTTTAATCTGACCTGACCATATTTAATTTTGGCCTGATCACATTATTTATAAGCATATCAATTTGATTTATTGTGAATCTTTAATAATTAAATCAAGCAACCAGTGTGAGTTGACCTTAAGTGCCCCCATCAAGATACAAATCTATAGTAGGATTCAGCTAAATGACAGTCATTCGGATGACCTAATCATTGCTTCTGTTAATTTAAAAATCTACTTTCAAAATCTATAAATGTAGAATTTCTTAGATTCTGAAACTAAATTCATAGAGTCCTAGTTTCCAGGATTACATATTTTATATAAGTAGAAAAGTGTGTAGTTTTCTTTATAACTTGGTGTTTCTTAGGATTTGTTGTATTGCTCACTTATAAGTGGATCATTAGCCACAAGGTACAAGATAATCACACTGTGATCCACAGACCCAAAAAAGCCAACTAGCAAGGAGTGCCAAAAGGAAGAGGCTTGAATCTCATTTAGAAGGGGAAATAAAATAGACATCAGAGGTGGGTGGAGGAAGGAGCTGGGTGAGAGTTGGTGTGGGGAAGGGAATGAGGAGGGGGAATCAGGTATAGGGAGAGGGAGGGAGGACAGAATGGAAATCAGCACTGCACAGGAGTGAATCATCTCTAAGATGAGCCAGAGACTTGGAATAGGGGGGCTTCACAGAGTCTATGGGGATGACCCAAGCTAGGACATCTAGCAGTGGGGCATATGGAGCCTGTAGCCAGAAAGGACTCCCAGTGAAAGAGTAAGGACACCAACTCACCTACAAAACCTTTGAACAAAAGTGTGTCCTGTCTACCAAAAGTGCAGGGACAACGATGGAGCAGAGATTGAAACAATGGCAAGCTGATGACTGGCCCAACTTGAGACTCATCCCATGGGCAAGAACCAATTCCTGACACTATTAATGATACTCTATTATACTTTCAGAGCCTATTACAACTGTCCTCTGAAAGGCTTCACACAGCAGTCAATGAAAACCGGTGCAGAGACCCAGAGCTCAGGGAGTCTTGTGGAAGAGATAGGGGAAGGACTGAGGGGCCCAAAGTGGATAGAGACTCCACAGTTAGACCAATCTGGACACTTGGGGGCTCCCAGAGTCTGAACCATCAACCTAGGTTCCCTACACATATATAGCAGATGTATAGCTTGGTCTTCATCAGTCAATCTCTAAAACCTATTTTTATGGACAATGTCACAATGCAGTCAGTCTATAGAATCCGTCTTTATGGAAGGTGTACTCACATTTGATCTATATTTTCTCTCTTTTGTTCTTTGAGGAGATTTATATAAGCTTATTTGTTCACAGTGATTGAGTTAATTATCACCTGAAAATTTTTCACTAAATTGTGCTGTGCTTAAATATGCTTAAATAAACTACTCAGGGGTCAGACTCCCCAAGTTTGAATGAATGCTGGCTACTTAGTTGTGCTGAACTGAACTGCCTTCTTGCCTCCTGTGGCCTCCATGGTGGCAGAGATCCCACACTGTGCTATTGAGTCTCTGCCCCGTCTCCCTTCCATGATGGCCTGTGAAATGTGATGTGAACCTACAAGCAGAAATACAGCTGTTTTCCACAAGCTGCTTTTCATCATGGTGTTTTATCACAGCAAGATAAACCCTAACTAAGATATCAGCCAAGCCTCAACTGAGATGTTGGGATAAACTTTGTGGGAGACCATGAATTCCTGGCCGTATCCACCTTGTCAGCAGATATTGAACCTCAATGATGATGAGCTATTAAATGGATATTGTGATAAACAGATGAAATTAGATAAAACAAAATAACAACTGCCCATTCACAGGCCTTTCTCATATCGTTTGGAAAAGATGTTCCAATCTACGTAAATAATCAGAATTAGAATTATTTATATTATAAATTATATTATTATTTATATAATAAATAAATTATTTATTATTATAAAGGTAGATACTTTTAAACACAGAAAACTGCATATTTACTGTAACTTAAAAACTAAAAAAAAAATGCTCTCTGAGTAAGAAAGTCAAGATAATTATAGAATTATGAAAAAAATTGACAATATGAAATTAAAATATAAGTAGAACAGAGAGTTTAGTCAACTAGATTGCTTTGCAATTTGTCAAGTTTTCATTTCTTTCTAGTTTGAAGTAATTCACTTAGATGTAATAAGATTATGCTTAAAATATGGATTTTAGCATTATAATGCTAAAATATCTAGAAAAAATACTCAACAACCCAAGTTCTGTATAAGTGTTTGATGCTATTATCATTACTATTAAATTAGTTAGCTGTAATTAGAATATTATATTAGATTCTGGCATCGATATTATTAAGCTTTCCTTAATAGAGTATATTTAGAAGAGGGGTTTAAAACATTGGCAGCACTACCATTCCTGAGACAAGCAACATTCAAACATCATGTGAAGGCAAGGGGCCACATGAAGTCTTAAATATATAGAATTGAAGACACTGGATAAAATTAGTATTTGAAATATACTTTTCCCGAGCTAATATAATTACCACAGAATGTTTACAAGTTTGAAGAGAAATTTATCACACTTAGAATACAAATAAGAGAAAGGGAAGAGAGAAAGAAAGAAAGAAAGAAAGAAAGAAAGAAAGAAAGAAAGAAAGAAAGAAAGAGAGAGAGAGAGAGAGAGAGAGAGAGAGAGAGAGGGAGGGAGGGAGGGAGGGAGGGAGAGAGGGAGAGAGAGAGAGAGAGAGAGAGAGAGAGAGGAAGGAAGGAACATTGATATTCATGAGGATGCAAACAGTCCAAAGATGACTTCCAGTAGCACACCAGACAGAGGAAGATGTGAAAATTATAATAATAATGTAGTCCAATAGGTTGTGGTTCTTGGGGCCTGGTTTGAAGGCTGCAGCCAACTGTCAACCACTGTGGAGGAAGATTTAGTTAACCAACTTAATTCTTCTCTCATTCATAAAGTATGTGCCTGGCTCTGGCTCCCTGGATGTAACAAAGATCATGTAGAGAAGTGTGCCCTTGTGTTCCCTGTTTGTGGTTCATGGCAGGAGCAAGGATATTCCCATAAATATCACATGTCATTAGACATGGGGCCGAGTGCAAGCTAAAACCCCTTCCTTCACAGATGATGACTGAAGGACACAAGGGATTAAGGAGTGACATTTCATAATGTGCTTCCTATCATAACACATTCTGAAACCAAGCCTTCAGAGTCCAAGTGTACCATTATTTCTGCCCCCAGTCACTCTGGAGTCATTAGTGAGTATGGTCTTTGGAAAAAGAGTGTTAAGAGAATGAGTTATGTGACACAGGTATCTTCAGCAAGTCATCATGAATGTTTCTTACATGGGGTTAGTTTTGAGTGTGGCCACTAGTGACTGTCCTCTTGGTATGGAAGAGCTGTCTTGTGTGAATATTATTTAACACTAACTTGAATAGATGACAGATTCTTTATTTTATGGCATGTGCCTCCTGCCTTGTCCCCTTGGCATACCCTTTCTGCCAAGCCACAGGAGTGTTCTGGGACTTTACCACTATTCTCAGTTTGGATTCTATTCAAATGTCTGGGGATACTGCAGTTGTGGTGTAATAAGAACTGTATTTATATTTTGTTACCAGTTCCTCATTCAACACATAAAACAGTTAAGTTTCCCAAATAATAGAAATATATTTTATCATTCATAGTCTTCAAAAAGCTCATTCCTTATTGTGTATCCCTTGTATAGACTCAGAATGGGTCTAGTCCCAGCAGGACCAATGGCCAGAGGGTTACAAGCTGCACTTTGGAGGATGGAGAAGGTAGAAATCAGGTTCTGTAAAAGTCTTAAGCACCAGGTTTATATAAGGTGCCGGGAGGGTAGTAATGCAGAAGGTACAGGGAAGATCTGTGTCCTTGGTTATACCTTGCCCTGTGAATATTTCATCTGCTTGTTCATTGGTATCCTGTGTTGCATCTATTATAGAAAACTGCTAAGCGTGTTTCCAGATTCTACGATCATATCTGTCAAATTTGTAAAATCCAAAAATGCATCATGGGGGCCCTCATTTGTATCTGGTCAGAAAAGAGATCAATCAGCATAGGTGACTGCCAACTGTGGCTTTTGTCACCTAAAAAGGGAAGTGGAGACAAGCCCTAAGCCTTGGGGATCTGATGCTGTTTCCAGGTACAGAACACCAGGACTGAATCAATAATGTCATGTTGGTGGCTCCTGGATGTCTGCTTAGTGGCAATGGTGGAACACATACCATGCATCTTTTCATATAAATAATTTGTCTTCAAGTATACGGTAGATACAAAAAGGTGTGTGGTTTTTATTTATCTTTCATATTGGAAGATTTCCAGAATACATCCTGAGATCCATTTGTTAGTTCAACCCAGAGAACTATAGAAACGGAAGCTTTGGATGACCAGCCAATCATTACATTTCCCCCTCCACCCTTCCTGCTAACCTTGGTTACCAGACATTGGATTCCTTGGTAGCCAAAAAGAGAAAAAAGGCTTTGAAATCTGGCCAGTGCCCTGGAGTTTCTACATTTTCATCAAAGTACTGGTGCATTGGCATTCACTTCCTGGGTGGCTTCTGAGCTTCAAAAAGAAACATGAACTCTGGCTGACTAGGAAGCTTTCAGGCTCTGGGCTCTGTGGCTACACACTGAGGTCTAGGTCAGAGCAGGTGAGACTATCATCCTGTTTACTGTTTCCAACCAACTTGATGAAAGCGCAGGAAGGAAAGGGCTGGGAAACCCAAGACTAGACCCAGAAGTTTCAGAGCAGCCAGGGAGGTGCTAAGCAGCTCTCCTGGGGACAGAAGGGCAGACCCCTCGATGCATATGCTTGGATCCCTTATCTTACAGCTGAGGCTGAATATATACAGCTCCACATTTGTATGTCCAGCAAAACTTGAAACGGAAAAAGCTAAAACAAAATTGTGTCTGCATCAAATAACACACATCCATATTTTCTTGTCCTTGTTCACTAGATAGTATACTATAGCATATGCAAAATTGTAATATGTACATAGCACATTAGCTTATGGGTGATTTAAGGCATGCAGGAAGCTGCATAGCTGTTCTGTCAATCCTATGCTATTTTATCCCAGGGTTTTGAGCATTCTTAGACTCTGACATCCTTAAGATAGGGTCAGTCCTGGGACTAATCCTTTTATATACATATACCCGTATTTTGTCCATATGGCTTGTACTTTATGCTATATTTTAGATATAATTATGTAAAATCAATGAAGTAGGTATGGAAGAAAATGTGATCATCTGTTTCAAGAGCTTGCCTGGTGTCATGTGTTGTGACACAGTGGAGAAGTCACTAAATTGCCTCTTGTGAGAAACTGCTACTATGAAAATGAAGGCTACATGAGTTTGCTTGGAAAATAACAGGTGTTAAGAAGTACTGGTAATATTGTCAATGGTACTCTTGCTAATAGTGTATTATTATAATGAGGCTTGACTATGTAAAAACTGCTTTGGTCAGTACTCTATAATTCCACTAACTCTGTTGTTCTGTGACCAGGCACATAGCATTCTGTTCTTATTTCTATGCCTGTGTCCCACTTGTTTTACTCATGAGACAAACTCTCTCCACACCCCTATAAATCACTCTGTAATATCTTTAGGCTGATATTGTAGATCAGATTTAGGCTACTTACACAGCATTCATAAGGCCCAACATCAAATATCTACTATATCATACATATTGTAAAAATAAAATTTATTTTTATTCAAAGCCTCACTCGAATCTATATTATTTAAGTGTCTTAGATGAACTATCCTAAGATTCCACATGACATATGTCTTCTCGAAGATCCTTGGATATGCAGACTAGCCCACACTATCTAGCACTCACTCACTGGCTGGGCAACAGAAATAAGTCTAGTGACCTCCCTACCTCTCAAGTATTCAGCTGAGAATGGGGAAGACCACACAGTCCCTGTCTAATTCATGGAAGGAGTATTTGAAAATACTTTTTCAATGATATAGAGATCTGAGCCATTCTTGTGTTGAAGTATTGATTTCAGACATTGGCAGATGTAGTCTTAATCTTACGGAGAAATGGGTTCGACCTCAATCTCTTGAAGGATTTACCCACCTCACCCTCTTCCTTGATCCTTACAAAGATAAAAGCTTGTAAGTACTTACCTTCTCTTAAGTCTCGACCTATTTTGGGTGGTGACTTCTTCCCCATTGACAATCCATGGACTTCTGTCCCATCCATATTCACTCCTGAAGGGACTCTGTCCATTCAAAAAAGTTGAGACTGAAATTTCTCATTAAATAAAATTTCCCCAAGGTAAAGAATACTGTATTTCCATAGGCTTTGATTCTGGATTACTGAATGGTAGTTTACATTTACCTATCTTTCTAAATCAAATTCTATGTTGTGCCTTAGTGTGGGTCTCTCAGCTTCCTCCAAATGCTGTGCTTTTCTTTAAATCTTTTCTCGAAACTTTTATTACAATTAGATCCACTCCCTTCATATCAGTCTATTGTTCCAAAGAACAGGAAGAATGATTATGTGTACCTCCATGTTGTACTGTTCTTGAGCATGGACTGCATCACTGAATAATACTTGAGTGGAGATAAACCATGTCCTAATGTAATAGTTGGCTCTTGACTATTCTGAGGAGAAAGACACAGTTTGTGTCAAGCTTTGCAAATGCACCAGTGATAGTAGATTGTCTTTCAATCTACACAGACTTGGTACGTCCAAACACTCCTATATATCCTTGATTCTCTCCCAATCATATTATGTCACCCAAGGGCTGATTGCAAGATTCTAAGACCTGAATCTTCCAGTTTACTGTGGCAAAACCATAAGCTAGTGCCCTCCATTGACAGGGGTCCCTTCCATTGCTATGACCTTTCTCAATTGGAAAATTGGTTGACTGGACTGTGTGATCCCAACCAGGCAACTCAAACATGAGATAAGCTTGAGTTATTTAAAAACAAGTGAGTTGACTTCAATTATATTAAAAATGGGTTCTCTTAGTTTCAATTTGCTTAGGGGTAACACATAGTTTGCTATACAGAAACCTTCTGACCTTGATTTTAAATGAATATAGTAAAGGAATTTACCATTGACAGGCAAAGTTTGAATATGACCAAAATGTGTTGTATGTGTATCTCAAATAACAAAAAACATTTTAAAAAGCAAATTTTATAAATTTGTTAATAAAAATTGCATCCAGCTTTGTGCTATAGGTGATCACAGAAAATTAGCATTTGGAGAACTCTTGGGCTAACTTCTTCATTTTAAGAAAGAATCTCCACATGCAGGACAACAGTAATTCTTCAAAATCACAGAGAAGTGAGTAGGAGAGCTGCGGCCAGGACACAGCTCCTAACACCCAACTCGAAGGCCACAATTCCCCAGCGTTCTCTAATCTACTGGAGTTGAGTTCCCAGCACCTACTTCCACCCTGAGCATCCCATCTCACTGTAGTCTGTTTTGCAAATGGAGGACTCACCGGTTCTCATCCTGCCGTCCTCCATAGCTGACCCAGTAATTCTGTTCATGGTTGAAGAAAAGGTATACATTTATTACCAAAATGCCATTTCTAGTAATAAAAAATTTAAAGTACTCCTAATAAAATACTTAGAAGACCTGAAATATTCAGAAACTTATACTATGTATTGATGAAGAGAAGGTTGATGAAATTTTGCCAAAGGTGCCATGGATAGCGAATGAATCAAAAGACTGTATGGAATTCGTTAGGTGCTTGGACCTTTGGTTCTGGACAGAGGCTTGAAATTTGATAACAGAAAGGGCTTCAGAGATCTTTCAGTGGAAGTGCTTTGTGCATCATGACTAAAACTTGGACAAAGAAATCCAGCTGGATTAATTAATTATCTGTACAGGACCATGAAGTAGATGTTTTATTTTGGGGTCTCCTGGGAAAACACAATTCTTCAAAATACTAAGTAGGAACAATTATAAGTATTATACCAGAAATATTACCTTAAGGTAACTTAGTTTTAAAAAGTGTGTTGCTGCCAATAGGCCATAATTAAGAACCAATTAAAATATATTATAATTAATGATTTCATCAATACATTAATAAGAATATTGCATAAAATATTTAGTAATCAATAGATAATTGGAAAAACCTATACCTAGGAATCCAAAGAGAAAAAGAAAATAATATGTGAAAAGGAGAAGATAGTATAAACTACCATCAGAAAAATAGAAGTTAAAATAGCAATGATATAGCAATTGGTAGTTAATATATATGAGGAGTGTGGATGCTTTTCCTCTTGTAAGGTTGGTAAGTTGGTACTCTCCTATATCACTAGAAACAATGAAGGTACCAGAAACATTTTCTTTAGAAAAGAAATTAAGTTTCAAGAACTCCCAGATTCCGTATTTTTTATGCAAAGTGAGTCCACTTTTGGAATTTATTTGAAGGTAATAGTTTAATAACAATGCTCCCTGAACTATGTATGTTTGAGAGAAATCAGAAATAATAGAAACATCAAAAGAATTAATCATACATTAATTCTATCTACGTAGCCAAAGTACTTTAAATCCTTAACAACGTTAAGAATCAGGTGTCTCATTAAATTAAAACAAGAACATGTATTTATCTATAACACAGATGAAGTCTTCAAAGGGTGCCATTTCACAGGCTGATCAGAGGACAATACAGGAAGCAGGGAAAGGACAGTACAGAGGCTTATTCATGACTGAGCCAATGGTTTCTGAAGATGTGTTATATTGTTTAAAGGATGGCATCCATTAAAAATATTAAAAAATTTTTACATCTAAGCATTAGAAAACTAAAGCAAGATAGACAAATGAATCATGCACAAACTATTTGCTTTTGACTTTGGACCTTAACATCATGGGAATCTATCAAAATCTTTTCAAGTTCATTGCCTGTATAATGTAAAGGCTTCTTTCAATTGGTTACTAATTTAGAGAGTTTATTAGATTCTTTCACTAATGTGGATGGTGCATTAATATTTAAATATCCACTAAGAAGATCTTTTGAAAGTTAGTGTTATGATTTTTCAAGCTTCCTTATTTAGTTTTTAATTAATTAATTAATTTGTTCACTTTACATCTCCAGTGTAACCCCCCCTTCCCTGCTCTTAATGGTTAAGAGCTCTGTCTGTTCTTCCAAAGGACCTGGGTTCGATTCCCAGCACCCATATGGCAGCTCGTAGCTGTCTATAACTTTAGTTTCAAGGGATCCGACACCCGCACATCAGTGCACATGAAACAAAATTAAGTAAGTTATTTTTTAAAAGATTTTAAGTAACAGCTCCTTTTCTCATTTCATTCTTACTGGTTCAGCATATGAAAATCCCAGGCCCTCTGCAGCTGTCTTGATCAGCTCAGCTTCAAGTTCATGACGCTTGACAAATGCTGCTAAATCCTAGAACAAAATAGAATTCATGTTAAATAACAACTAAGAAATATGATAGACGCTCAAGTGGAACATTTTGTTATAATAGGCAGTGAGCTAACATAAAGATCAGAGTTGCAAATGTGGTCCCCTTGGCAACAGGTTTGTCACAAGATAGCATCTATCAGAAATATGCGCTTCCGGCACAGAAAAAAATTGAAAGAGTTAAGATCTAGAACAGCCATTAAATCTCTATGTGTCTTTAATAATAATAAGGATAGTGCTTGTTTTTGTCATCTTTGTTTGTTTTTAATCAGTTCTCCCTGAAGCGCATTGTAGTTTAAAGACATTTCTCCCCGAACTCTGGTCTCACCTCTCGGGCCTCAATGGACACTGGGTCAGTGCTGTCATCCAGCAGACTCTCATAGAAGTCTACGTTGTCCAGGACATCCTCGTCGTCTGGATGGCACATCAGGTAGGCTTTGGCACACTCCAATGCTTTCACATATTCACCAACTGGAGAAAAAGGTGTTGCCTCATTTGAATCAGCGAGATTTGCCCAGATGATTTCAGAAGGAGACTTGCATATGTCTCCTGATGTCAGCATTGATCACAATAAATGGGAGACTAACTAAGGTTGAGTAAAATGGCCAGAAGCATTTACACAGGTCAGACATGATTTCCGGTATTTAGACGGTAGGACCTTTGGTTACTTTGGTGCTGAGCCCTTTGCAGAAATCCTCCAAAATCTCTATCAGAAAAGGCTCAATGGCAATTTCTGAAACACTACAGCAAAATTGTGTGAATTAACTGGGACTTATTTTGTACTGTGTGGCCTATGTAAATATTCTGAGCATGGGTTTCTAATATGTTGATGATAATAAGCAGCTGGCTTACCTACTTTGCATTCATTGGTCATGATGTGCACATGAATTATCACTGTCACAGCACCAGGACAATGAAAAACACTGTACTCTTGGAAAACGAGGGAGTTTGCCAAAGCAATTTTAGAATGGCCTGCATCATCATCATCATCATCATCATCACTTTAAAAGAAAAATATTTCTTTATGGCTGACCTGATAAAAGGCATCAATGCTGAAGACAGGAAGAAATAACAAGAAGTGCATTGAGCTAAGAAATCATACCTGTCAAGCAGCCAGTCACTTCTCCACAAAGTGAAGATGTGCACATCACAGTAACTTAGGTGATCCAAATACTATCAATTGTTTTTAAGTACAAGAGGAAATAGTCAATATCTCCTCTTCAATAACAAAAGGGAAGTAAAGCTATTTTGAATTGCCAACTTTACCTAGGGGATTGTAGAGTATCTAAATATTTTATAATATATTCTGATGATGAACAGTGAGAAATCCAGTCAATATGGGTGGAAAATTTGGCAATGTGAATCGAAACTACAAATGAATAAACTATTTGACCCAGGAAATGAACCTCCAGATAGTTAGCCTTAGAAATATGTATATAAATATGCACTGACATGTGGAAAGTATTATCCACTTGAAAGGTCACTGCAGTCACAAAAGATTACCAACAACACAACTGTCCCTCAATAAGAAGATGCATAAAATAAGTTAAATACAATGATATACGTGCATAACGAAAGAACAGGAAGGTCTCTCTGTACTCATCTAAGTTAAATAATAACTAGAATTTAAATTTGGCCCTCAAAATGATAAATTTCTATGTTTAACTTACTAAACATCATCTGGCAAATATTAAGTAAAAAAAAAGATACAGAAAAAAGTATAAATAATGCTGTCTTCACATAAATGAAGAAGGAAAAGTCTGTGATTGTTTTTGATATGTATAGATTTTTGCCAGCATAAGACACTTGGTGTAGGGCATGAATGTGGCTGTGGGTACAGACAGGGAGGTGTATTTAATAGCATTGCTGCTGTAACACAGTCCTACTAAAAATGTGTTGAAAAGAAAATTGGCAAGTCTAGTGTACATTTTATGATGTTAACGCAGGAAATCCTGTGCTGCATCCATTGCCAGTGTCCTCTTGCTCTGAGCTGTAGCCCAATTTTATAGGGGAAAAAACAAACAAACAAAACACACATAAGCCTGTGTCGCTTTGGTGATGAAATGAAAGAAAGCAGGAGTCTGGATGGTGGCCAGATGCATACAATGATGGAGAACCCCCATGAGTTTTCATGGATGACCCCTACTTTACCTCTGTAGTAGGCAAACTGGAGGTAGTCGTAATGCAAGGGAAGAAAGTTCTCTATTGGTGAGAGGCGGCCTGGGCGGGTGGCGAGTTCCCTCACACACTCATGCTGACAGACAAGAACCTGCATGTAGTGATCTGGAAGGCAAGAGAGAGAGAGGTGTTCTCTAGCTGCTGAGATCATACCTTAGTCAGGCCAGCACTTCTACAGGGCTTGCTTTATTTACCACACCACACTCGGAGAAAGAGAGAAGAGAACGCTCTCTGTATTATCACTTCCTAGCCTGAAAACCTCATACAGACAGTGACATCATTTTCTCCATGATCACTTAACAGCACTTGGTCCCAAAGCACCACAGTATGACAGGCTTCCTGTGCATAAAGCTGAGTATGGACTTTCTCACCAGACACTTAGAGCTTTGGATACTTCAGAAGGTCTGAGGTACCCTGGGATTCAGATCGGATTTTTACATCCTATGGATGTTTAGAAGCCATTCAGAGATGGAACATGCAGCATGCTGAAAGCTCAGCAGTTGAAAGGGAGGACACAAACTCTCTTTCCCAGGCAACTTCTTTCTAAAGGAGAAAGTAAAATGGTATTTCCTATACGTATTCCTCAGAACATTATACCACCCGATTATAGATTGGGATCTTCCCTAATGCTGTATATTCTAAAATATGGGATTCTGTATGGACAGAGTGGCAAAATGGCAGAAAGGATGACAGCTGAAGAATTTGAATAAACACTTCCTCCTTGCACTCAAGTCTATGGTTGCTGTTCTCATTTAAACTAAGAAAGACACTGAAGTACAGAGGATTCCATGCCCCATCGCTCTTAGCTCTATTTTGTCAAGGCAAGAGCTGAAAAAAACCAACAGCTAATGTCACAGGGAAAAATTCTTCTTCCTCTTTGCCTAACTTTGAATTCTATCGAAAGATGGAGGAAATGCTTTCCAAGGAGAGAATGCTTCTTTCATGCTTAGGCAGAGTGGGCTCCTTGGGGATTGAGAAAAATCACTTGATCTCATGGCTACACAATTTAATTGGCCACAACTGCTTCTTTGAACAGGTCCTCTGTTCAGTCAGAATTCCTCTTGGATCTGGGAAACCTTGCAGACTGAGGTCAGGACACAGGAAAGAAAAGAAAATTTAGAGGGTGGAGGCCAACATTTTCTATAACCTGGCTAACTTAAGTCCACGTAGAACAGCTAACAGATTCAACACCAAAATCCACCACATTTTACCTCTGATTGAAGATGGGCAGAGATAATGAGGTCTATATATACAATCGGAAAGTTAGGAATAAAACTAGAGCTATGTTTCATATCTTAGGGGAACAATGAACAGCCAAGACTCCATAGACCGAAATCTTCTTTGCCTTCAAACCTGTTTCTGTTGATGCCAAGTGACGGGAAAAGGGAAAGATAACAATGTACCACCAACAACTCAAAATCTGCAGGAGTATATTGTCAAAACAGATATAAATAGCAAGTAAGAGCAGACCAGATACCTTCGGCTGCACAAACAGAGTCGACTATGGGAAAACCAGCACGAAGCAGTCGTTTGCACTTTCCTCCAACATTAAGTCTCTCCAAAGTCTACTATTTGAGCATTATGGTTTTTCTAATACAGTCTCTATTGTCAGTACCAACTCAACTCCTAACTGAGGTCACCTGAGTCAGACAAGCATTTGCACAGTGAAAGTTGTCATATTAGTTTTATTTGTTGTATTCTTTTCCCTTCAATATCATTGTGCAATTAATGCATTTTTAATGAGTTTGAGGTTAAGAACAACTGTGTGAGAATACTTTTAGTTTTTTTTTGCTACATTAAATTGAGCATGCTTCTGATTCCCATGAGACCTTACTGCAACTGTTGATATTTGACTGGGACTAGAGATACTATGATTTATTTTCACCAGCTTTTTATTTTATTTTATTTTATTTTATTTTATTTTTTCTGAGAGACAGGATGTTGGTGTGGTAATTAAGAGTCAAAGACACTGAGTATGGATTTTTCTTGCCTGTTCATCTGTCCTTTCCCAGCAGCCAATGGGTTATGGTAACTTGACCAACACTAAATACCAACCCACAGAGATTAATTTCAGTAACAGGATTTAGATGATTTGCCAAAACTATTCCATGGCTATAGACAGCGCAGGTGCTGAGACAATGTGTCAGGGGTAGGACACATCAACCCATAAAAACAGAACAGTAAAGTGCTAGATATAATAAAGAAAAGACTAGCTTATACCTCTTGTCAAAGACTGTGCGTTGAGGAAAAAAAATCAGTAATTACACTGTAAAAGACACACAAAATTGACTTTGAAATGAATCACCTTTGATGCTCACAGAAATACTGAGGAGTTAAAAATGTCAGCTGTCCAAGGAAACAAAACTTTTGGAACTAAATCCTCAAAATAACTCATACAAGTATACTGATTTTAGGCAACTTTAATTTCCGTTGGGTAACAGAGCTCTTTATAGGGTGATAATTTAATGTAATGATTTTGATTGTAAAGACATATTGATTCTAGTTTATACTTTGTAGCTGTTCTCTAATTAGCTTCTAAAAACAATCCACCTTTATTTATGGCTGACATTATCCCAGGCACAAGGAATTACTAACACATTGATCTGTGCATAGTTATGGGTATATATATATCACATCCTTTATTCTTGCCTTCACCAACACATTTGTTTAGCCAATATTTATTAAGTAGCTAAGGGATTTGCTGAAGATTGAGCACTGAACAAGTTAGGACACCAGCCAAGTGATAGCAGAAAACACCCTAAATATTTGCAATGGGAAGGAGAGTGAGCAGCTCATCCAATGGATTCAAAGAACTTAGGAAGGCAGGAATGAAGAAAGAATGTGAATATACATACTGAAAGTCCTTAAAGGGTGTGGGCGTCATTCCAAGTGGAATGAAAGCCATGATGGGAGGGAGTTTATGTACAATAGCTCCGTTAGTACAGAATGTGGGCTCTGTATTGGAGCTCCATCTACATTGTACACCACGACCAGGAAGGAAGTAGTCACGGGGACTTAGTTAAAACACAGTTCTGATTTAAGCCATGGGAAATGGGAAGATTGGTAAGTGTAAAGTGCCGTGTGAAAGAACCGTTTGTCCAAGTTTGGCAACAAATAAAAGTTGAGGAAGTTGTCAGATTGACAAGCAACTTCCTCAGATTTGGTAGGTGCTTTGTTGGGCGATAAGGACACTTTAGAACTGGAAGGGCAAATTGGCTTTAGTACTTTCCAATACAGCTGAACATTGTTTTTCATTATATATGTCTTGGAACATAATAAGTCATCATCACATATTAAAAAAAATGTTTGTTATTAAATAAGTCACCGTTTACTTGGGTTTTAATTATGTTGACTTTGAAACTACCGGTTCTCCATTTTAAGCAGTCTGGGTATGATTTTCAGATTGTTTCCAGCCATATCACATCAACCAATTCCTCACCTAAGAAGAGCAGAATTCCTTCAGTGAGGTATTTATGCAGCACACAGAAAAGCAGATCTGTGTGAGAAAGGTCAGCACCCTTTAGGCCCTTGTGATATCTTCGGACACAATAAAACCAGCCCTTGGGTGGGGAGACCACAGGCACAGGTAGAAGCCCTACCAGAATTGAACCTATTATATTGCCACAATGTTTGTTTTGTCAAAGTGCCTTCTAAATACTGCTTCTATCCAAGGGTTAGTACTGCACCTAGCTTTCTTCACAGATCTTGTTATGGTAGGGCCAAAGTTTATGAAGCAGCCCATGAGTGGGCAAATATAGAGTGCTAGTCTGTAGGTGGCAGAGTTCTATCAACGCTCCAAAGCTCTCAAAACATCATGGAGTGGGTGGTAGATGTCAGAAAGAATATAAGAAACATAGATTGGGGAGAAGTAGAGTTAAAAACGGATGGTTTCAGGAAATGGCATAGCCAATATACTTATGAACTCACTGTGGCTGTGTTTTTTTGCACCAGATTTTTCCAACACTAGGCTCCTCAAAACTTCACCAAGGTTGGAGGAGGCACCCATGAGGTCAATGGTGGTTAATGGTTGTTGGGTGTGGAGGTCTCATCTTAGTAAAGCCACTGGAAATCCATCCTTCTCAAGAAAGTAACATTCCATCCATGTTCCAGCAAAAAACTCTAGTTAAACTCATTGGAACACACACACATTGATAAGAAGTAGGAGGGAGACCCATTGAGAAGAAAGGCTTCAGTTGTAGAAGAAAATACTACGATGGATGGAATGGAAGGCAAAAAATAACTAAAACATCTCTAGCTAAATATATGAAAGTGTCAAAAAATTAAACTAAAAACAGAACATCAAAATCAAAACCCAACACAATTTGTGTATCCCCTCCCCAGAAAGCAGCAGCTAATACCTGTGTGCTGACAGCTGGAGAATAGCTAGACACACTCAGGCTCTGAGATTCAGTGAGAATCCAGCCTGTACATGGTGTTTTACTTGTACAGAGGCCTCCTCAAGTCTTCTTCATGCTAGCTTCTAAAACACAGCCACAGAAAAGTATGCTCCTGTACCTGTAGACTAGCCTGTACTGCTGTGGCCAACTGAGCTAAAAGAGGAGACACTTCAAGAGCCCTTTAGCCATAACAACTCTCCAGGGGCCACTGCTTCCAATGGAAGGTTGTCTCCTCTGTAATCCCCAAGGAATGGGGAATCCAACTTTCCACTTCACTGACTGGAGATGTAAGTAAAGAAAGAGCCATGGCCTTGTGTCAGAAACTCTTCATCTCAGCTACTCAGGGAGCTGTGGCAGGAAGATTGTAGAATCAATGCCTGCTGAAAAGTGCGAGAGGGAGTTCAAGGCCATCCTGGGCAACTTAGTGAAGCTTGAATCCCCTGATAAGAAGTAGAAGTATAGATAGAGTTTTAGCACAATGCTAGTACCATTTCCACTTGTTCTTGCCTTTTGTTTTTTATGAAAGCACTCCACATCTCCTGTACTATATATACATACTCTAAAGTTCCTCCTGAAAATTGTATTTTCACAATTTAATTTTTTATTTATATTGTTAATACGAATGCATTGTTTTCAAATGTGGTATACACAGATAACTACTTCTTCCAATAAAAGGTTAGTTACCCAGTATCAGCAACTCTTGAATATTACATGCATTGCCCACTATTTTAAATAACATTCTCAAGTATAATAAGTCAATTAATTGTACAAGAATATAATGAAGGCTTTATTGCTATATTACTTACAATAATGAAAAACTGCAACCCTTTCCATTGTGTTTAGTAAAAGCTAACATTTAAAATGATGGTGCCCCCATATCATGGGTGTTATCTAACCACTACATACAAAAAAGTCAGTCCACATGTACTTACATAAGAAGTCCACATTTTGTTGGTAAGCAGAAAATAAAATGAAATAATATGTTGAAAAGAAATACTTATAGTACTTTCCTATTTATATTGATGAAATAAGTAAATATGCAATTAACAGCAAACTCCGCAGAAGAAATTGGGATGGGAAATCGTCAAAATTTTAACTATAAAAGTTAGGAATAGAAGACAGGGTGTAATAAATGCATGAAATCTTTAACATTTTACAATAGTTACTAATATGTGCTGTATTTTCAGAATATTCACATGTATATAGCACCTTGGAGTAAGCAATCAAAGAACAAAAACAAGCTTTACCTGCGATTGCCTCATAAAGGCCACCTTTATACCCTAAGTACTCATATTCCTCAAATCTCTGAGGTCCCTCACATAGAGCACGGCACTCCATGTCTTCATTGAAATATTCTCTTAAAGCTTGTTCAAAGTACTTGATAGCTGTTTCAAAGTCATCAGCCTCATAGTATTTAACTCCAGCACTGTAGCTCTCCTGAAAAGACACGGACAAGGTTTTGTTTGTACAGAGTGATATCTACACAGACCTGGGATCACATAGGAAGGTGAGAGCAGAATTTTGTGCTGCAGAAGATAATGCCAGGTTTCACTGGTCAGTCCACTGTGACTCTCCTATGTCAAACAAATGTAAGAAAGGGAGCCTATAGCATAGTTGGAATATGATAGTGGTAATCAATCCACTTTCTTTCTGCACATTCATGGAGCATATTGCATAGTCTTTCTACCATAAGGAAAGCACAGAACAGTAATGGGGTATTAAATATGCTTCCATGTCTTGATCTATTAAATCTTCCTTATAAGATGTTTCTCTATCATTCTTCTCAGCAGTAATATTGGACGTCACACATTGAGAATGTTTATATCAAAAAACTAGGGGAGGGAGTCAAATGTTTTTCCACATGTGATTTCAAATGATATGTTATTGTAAGAACAATTCTGGGACATTTTCAAACTCTGAATTGAAAACTTCAAGTACAAGAAAAAATCCTTGAGATTGGAAGCCGGGAAACGATAGTGTAGCCATGAACCACTCACAATGGCTTCACTTCTAGGTGAAAAGTAAGTGTGGTAAATGTCAGAAATGATAGATGCCATCTCTTGAGATTAGATCTATTGCTATATGTTGTAGTGCTAAATACTGCCCCCAAGCTCTGGTTGCCCCTGGGGTGAAGAAGTCCCCATGTACATCAAGTGACGCTATGTCACCCTGTTCCTTGATTTAAAACTATTGGTTAAATAAAGATGACTACAGCCTATAGTTGGGTAGAAGAGAGGTAGGTGTAGTTTCAGTTTCTGGGCTTGGAGTCTGATGGAGAGACTATGAGGAGGAGAGGAGAGAAAAAGAGAGAAGGGAAGAAAAGAGAAGAGGAGAGGAGAAGATGCCATGGGGTAGGTGAATCACAACATGGCCAGGAGGAGTGGCCAGTTGGAGTAGGAACAGACCAGATAGAACATGGCAAGTTAGAACTCAGGGTTATTTGCAGAGAAGTAGACAAAATAGCATAGAGGTTTGAGACTTGTCCAGCTCTACTACTGTTAAGGCTTATTATAAATAAAATGGTTCTGTGGCTTTTATTTGGGAACTAAATGATCAAAGGTGGTGTAGAAACCTCCATTAAATATTTACCACAAAAGGCACCTATAAACTAGATACTAAAAGGCTGAGGTAGGAGGATTACTTGAGAGTTTGAAGTCAGCCACTGCAATATAGCAAGATATGGCCATCTAAATACTAAAGAATACACATTTTTAAATTTTTTATGTATGTGAGTACATTGTTGCTCTCTTTAGACACTGCAGAAGAGGGCATTGGCTCCTCTTACACATGGTTGTGAGCCACCATGTGGTTTCTGGGAATTGAACTCAGTACCACTGGAAGAACAGTCAGTGCTTGTAATCAATGAACCAACTCTCCAGCCCCAGAATACACATTTTTAAAAAGCAACTCATGGGACATTCTTCAAAATAGCATTTATAGTAGCATACAAAGAAACTCTCTATAAATACAGGAAAATTGAAATAGCATTCTGAATTCTACCTGAACAATGTTAGATAGGAACAAAACCAAAAACAAATCAAGGCACAGAAACTCACTTAGATTAAATAACATAATATTTAATAACATGTGGACCATTTATATAGTACTTCCTTCCTGTAAGGCTCAGGGAATATCAAGGAATAGGGGACAGAAATATGTAAGGGACAGAAATCATGAAGGACTGGGTTAAATCAGTATCTTATGTACATGATACGGTTGCTGTCCTCATCAAGTCAGCATCAGTGGCTTGAAGTAAAAGTTTCTGTTATTTTGGAAACTCAGTTCTGTCATGTGATATTTTTTCTGGAAGCTGTCTTGTGAGAGGATGTTTGGCTGAAACAGAAGTCTGAAAGGGCTCGTGATATTTGGAAAGAGTATAAGTCGAACGCCACAGAGAAGGGACTCTCTTTTATCATTAGCTGTTAAACACTTGCTGATATTCACTGGTCTTTGATGGTCTTCATGTTGTAGGGAGAAAATTGCCAAAGAATTTCTCAATGTATTCCAGTTAATTCTTGTCATATCCACAGACTTGTGCAGATTTGCAGAGCCTTGTGGTTTCTGATGGACTGAGCCACTGCTTACTGATTTGTGTTTGGTGTTTGCCATTGGACTGGACTGCTGGTATCATGACAACCAAGAGTGGAATTGCCCCAAAGAACTACTTCTAAACAGGTCCACAAACCCCTTGCCCTACTAACCATCTTTCTCCCTTACATTTGGTTGGTGGACTAGAAGGGAGGTTGAAGTGTTTAAGAGCACTTATTAAAGTAGGATTTGAAAAATCTAAGCTGTGACTGATTGCACAAAACCTGTACAGAGATCAAATGACTGAACATTCTACCATGAATTGGGGAGGGACACTTGTATCCACACTCCTAGTGGAGAAGTTATTAGGAGTTGATGGCTGTTAGTGGATGGAGAGTAAGTTTTCTTACAATGCTATGAACATTTAATGCAGTTCTTCATGTTGTAGAGACTGTTAGCCATAAAAATTAGTTTCATTGCTACTTCATAACTATACCTTTATGAATTGTAATGTAATATCTGCATTTCCAATAGTCTTGGGTGATACCTGTAAAAGAGTTATTTAATTGCCAAAGCAGCCATGAGCTACATGTTAAGAAGAGGTGCTTTATAGATATGGTCACTTTTAGATGCTCTAGTGGGTACCCCATATGCATGTATATATAAAGACATTAATTGGTCTCTCTGGTTTATCTATGTATGTTTTTAGAAAAGGATGTGAAGGTCAGAAGAGGGAGTTCGGGGAGGGTGATTAGGCATCCAAGAATAGTTGGAAGGAAGAAGTAAGAGTGAGTGTGATTTAAACACATTCTATGCTCGTATGGCATTCTTAAAGAAGTCACAAAAATATTGCGTTTAAAGATAAAATACAGAACTAGACAGAGTAGTCTCAAAATAAAAACAATTGTCTAGAAAACACTTGAAAGCATGTTCAGCATCTTGAGCAATCACAGAAATTCATAGTAAAACTACTTTAAGGTTCCGTCTTACCTTAGTCAGAATAGCTATTATTAAGAGTGCCAACAACAAATGCTCAGGTATATATATGAAAAGGGGAACTCATATGTTGTGGGTAGGAGTGTAAACAATTGTAACCCCTCTGGAAGTCAGTCTGGAGATTTTTCAAAAACTAGGAATAAAACCACTATGTGGCTCCGGAATGAACTAGTGGCTATTGACAGATTCCAGAATCAGGGAACCACTGTCATCCCTTGTATATCTAGTGCTCAGCCAATAGAAAGTTCCAAACCCCGGACACACAGACTAACATGGATAAACTGTGGTTCACAAAACAGACATGAACATGAATATGAAAAAGAGATTTGTAGGGAAGAAGGGGTACACAAGTGTAGGAGGCAGACAGTAAAAGTCTGGGTAAAAGTGGTCAGTATGCATTATTTAATTAACATCATGTGAAACTGTCAAAGGATAAATAAATAATTAAAACTATGCTGTGGACCAAACCCCAACACTGTTGCTGATGCCAAGAGGTGCTTGCTGACAGGAACCTCATGTGCCTGTTCCTAGGGAGGTTCTGCCAGCAAATGATCAATGCAGATGTGGATGCTTGGAGCCAATGATCAGACTGAGCTCAGGGACCCTGGTAGCGGAGCTGGCAGAGGGACTGGAGAAGCAGAGGGGGATTGCAACCTCACGGGAAGAACAATGTCAGCTGGCCAGACCACCCAGTGCTCCCAGGGACTAGACCATCAACCAAAAGTCTACATGGCTCCAGATACATATGTAGCAGAGGATGGCCTTGTCTGACATCAACGGGAGGGGAGGCCCTTCTTCCTGTGGAGGTGTGATGCCCCAGCATAGGGGGATGCTGGAGCAGTGAGGTGGCAGAGAGTGGGTGGATGGGGGAACACTCTCATGGATGCAAAGAGGAGAGGGCAGATGTGGGATGGGGGGTTTGTGGAGGGGTAACTGAGAAGTGGAATATCATTTGAGATGTAAATGAATGGAATGATTAATTAAAAAAAATAGATGCTGAAGCTTCACAGAGGGGTACAGATACTTTCACGGAGTTCTAGGCTTTACCATATCCTGATATTTCTGAGTGAATTTTCATTTCCCTCAATCTCAATTTTTAATGACCGAAATTTTAACTTAGACTATCAAATAAGCATTTACTTCTGGCTACAATATGCCATCTGAGAGTTTTGATTGTATGAAAGTTAGTGCACACTGAGACCAAACTTGATTTATCCACTATATGACTGAGCTTGGACTCAAGGAAACAAGGATAGTTAGAGGCACACCGCAGGGGCAGGGTTCCCCAGAACTCACCAGATGTGGCTTGGCTTCTCTGTCTACCAGGGGGGCTTCCACTCCGGCCATTGCTTTATAGTCCTCTATGTTCTGTTGCATTTCCATGTGCTCGGGGTTGGCCATGAAGAACGTGTGAGCTGCTTCCATGGCCTGATCCAGCTGGTTGAGCTGTTGAAGAAAAGCACACAGTCAAGGAAATGGTCTGTAAACTTGGCTCCAGAAGACTAAAGAGACCAGTCCAAGTTCTCAGAGTAGAGAAGTAGTGAGGACAGGATTCCTCACTACATGTTTACATGTGTGCACACACATATGTGCACACTCACAACATCTACCCAAATGTTTTCACTCTACTGTATTCAACCTCTGAATTTTCAGTGCTGTTAATAAACTGTTCATAAAATTGTATGCGGATATTTTGGTCCTAGTCAAGTTTATTCTTTTCTACATATCCATGTTTTAAGGAATGTGATCTGTACCCTTATATTTAGTTTATGGTTATCCAAAACAAACAGATTGGTACGATTTTTGCCCTCTAGTTTACATTTCAACACTGGAGTTTATACTTTCATGATAATGATGAGAGGTGAAATACAGCTGTGGTTTTCTGAGTGACTGAATTGGGTAAACTCTTCCTCCTTTGTGTTAGTGTTTTGGCTTTAGAGAATAAAGAATAGAAAATTGAAAGATATAAACTAGTCCAATTCAGGAAGAGTTTAACTTTGTAACTTCGATTTTCATTAATGCAAAACATTGGGGGCATTAATCTTAGTTCCATGTGAAAGTGCAAGAGTCCACGGATGCCAGAAAAGAGTGAGAGACCCTGTGGACCTGGAACTATAAGCAGAGAAGGTAGTCTAGCCTAGGCTCTGGAAACTAAACTCAGCTCCCCTACAAAAGCTGTTCATGTTCTTAACCATGAGGCCATCTCTCCAACAATAGAAATGACACCTTTGGAATAATCACCATACTGACACTGTGCTGTGTTTCATGATTAAAATAAAGAGGTATTTTTAACTCAGTGGAATTAATTTTTCTCAGTGTCAACACATATTGGCATATGCTCAAGTCATGGAAAACCCTTACAAAAAGATCCATTTTCTTCATGAAAAGTAAACACTTATATTAGTAATCTTTTTTTATAGGAAAACCCAAAGATGTTTGTTATCGTATAAAGTATGAAGAAAGTAATCACACTGTTACTGGACACATAAGTACGAAGTCATCCAAAATCATAAAACCATTCAACTGAGTTTTCTCTAACAAAGTAGCTACTCAGTGATTAAAAGAAAAATGTGTTCTAGGTTCCCAGCATGTGGAAACAGACAAAGAAGCAGCTCTCATCATAGAAAACATATACTGCCCTAATTTATGACGTGGTACCCCTACTTTTCCTATTAATGCCAAAGCCTTTAATTTGTTCACATCCTTTCACTATGGACTTCTTCTTAGACATTACCTAAAATTAGGTCTTGCCATCATGGAATGCAGCCAGAAAGTTTTTGGCTGCCCATGTAAAAGGCGTTGAATCTGCCCTCTTGTTCCTTTCATATTTTCTCTATTTCACCAACCCTAGTACATAGAAATATAAAATATTTGGATATTTAAATGATAATATTTAGATGGGAGCCAAGAAGCTGTGCAAGTTCTGAATTGTGTAGAAATCCAAATGACTTGGTCAAGTGAATATGGAAAAAGTTCTTTAAAAGTTTATGCTTTGGTCATGTAGTGAGCAAAAAGCTTTACTCATTAAAAATTTTATACCACAATAGACCAAGTGGGATTCAAGTGGTTTAACTATGTTGTGTCTGAGTAATTTTCAGAAACAGTAGCTGTGGTGGTTTGAATAGATTTGGAACAGGGAGTGGCACTATTAGTAGGTGTGGCCTTGTTGGAGAGAGTATGTCACTGTGGGGGTGGGCAATGAAATCTTCCTCCTAACCACATGGAAGCCAATCTTCTCCTAGCAACCTTCAAATGAAGATGTAGAACTCTCAGTTCCTCCTGCCTCATGCCTGCCTGGACTCTGCCATGCTCCTGCTTTGATGATAATGGACTGAACCTCTGAAACTATAAGCCAGCCCCAATTAAATGTTGTCTATATACATGTTGCCTTGGTCATGGTATCTATTCACAGCAGCAAAAGCCTAACTAAGGCAATAGCATCTAATTTATAGATGATCAATCAAACAAGTGGGTTTGCTCACTAGCACAGTATAATGGATAGAGTCCATGAACACATCATTTCTACAGATACAGTACATACTTGAGCTACCTGGAAACTGCCCCTGGGTAACAAGCAAACGTCCAGTAATGAGTAAAACAGGTTATCCCCAACACACTGGACCGGTAGCTTGAGGTATTATCACTGACAGAAATGCTTAAAACTTATGCTTCTCACTTTCCCGCTCTTCTGGCTTGACTCAGGCTGGTCCCTTGATACAGAGAGTATTTGTCCATTCATCTTTTCCTTTTCAAAGCTAACTTGACCTGTAAGGCCAAGCTTGAATACTTCCTGAATAAATGCTTTTTCAGACCTATTTTTGACAGCAAATGAACCTCAGTATCATCTTATCTTTATTTCTATCTTGGGACTTACCATACACTATCTTAAGATAGCCAAGCTTATTTGCTTCCCCATGAACAGTTTTATTTGGAAAGGAACCAAGAACTTATATATCTTTTCTATTATTTTCTACTTACATTTCACATACCTGATTATCTATGCAAAGAATAATAAGTATTTCTTTTACATATCAGCCAAAAGATATACATGTGAGTGTACCTTTTATGCTAAGCAGTGCTAACAGCATGAGACATCTCTGAGCCACGTGCACACTCAAGTTCCCAATGCAGTGGCTGTGTGTTAATTGGTTTCCTTCCTTATAACTCAAGGCAATACACCATCGTGAGTATATATATATATATATATATATATATATATATATATATATATTCACATATAGGTATATGTATATGTGATTCTGTGCCCTTGACACTGAACTATAAAATTTCTTCATGCACTGGTACTAGTCCTGGCTTTTATATTACAAACTAAAATTGTCTGCCAGAATATATAAATTTAGCCATCATATGTAAGCTTTAAGTACTTGTATTTTATTTAAGTAGTACATGGTTGTAGCGGGATATTTTCCCACTGCATTTGTATAAAGCTCAGCAATTGGGCTGTATGAGAGGTAGGCAGAGTGAGGAATCTGGAGGAAGGAAGAAGAAGGAGAGGAAGAGGAGGAGCTAGAACAGAGAAGAGAAAGGTAGCAGCCATGGAGAAGTACTGGGTAACAATTTATACCTAAGATTAGGTATTGGGTAACAATTCTAATTGTGTGGGCATCTTGTTAATCGAGCATCTCCTAATACAAAAATATTGGATTATCTTTAAGTATTAAGAGTCTCATTTCTACCAGTTACTGCAGTCATAGCAAGATGGTCTGGGCTCAGCCAAGCATTGTGGACAGCATGTTGGATTGGCAGAGCCAGTCACCATGCTGGTTTTTGGTGCCAGGGCTGGTGCTTTTAGATAGCCAGAGCCCGTGGTCCAAAGCTGGAGCCACAGGAAAATGGCGGCTGTCTGGGAATGAGCTGGACTGGGCACCATTTATTTAAATATTACCCGCAACACATGGTAATAAATGTCCAAGTGAAAATGTATATTCTACGTACAATGTCAATTACTGGATGAAGAATATAACAAAGTCCTATAAACACTAGATTTCAGCTTAAGAATGAACTACCCACTAAAACCAAACTGCATTCACAGACCCCATATGGGATTTTATATAAGATATAATTGTAACAAACCACACACAAAGAGAGAACACTGATGCGTTCACTCTGTGGAGTAGAAACATAAACTCTGTGTCAAGAACAATTGAGGAACTGCAGCTGGTGTGACAAGAGATTATCTAACATTTAACTGCCCACTGAGCTGACAGAACGTGGAGAAGAGTGTCTGTCTGAAAGTGCTGATTTACTTCACTCAGATCTTAAAAAATGAGGAAACCTGCCAGCTCAGAAGCCACACAATATGGGGCAGTCATGCTGTGTGGGAAAAGAAATGAATGTTGATGAAGTCGGCACCCTGTGAGCATTCAGAAGACAAACCGTCATAGGCTAGTGAGTAAGTGCTGTCTCAACACAGATCCTCTCCCACAGGTAGTCCTAAAGATATTGCAGAGCCTACACTGAACATGCACACACATTCAGGGCTATCAACCAGCCAGAGAGAGGCTTCAGATGCAGCACCACGACATTCAGGAACTTGTAGGTTAGAGCAAAAGGTTTGACTCTTTAGTTTACCTCCTCTGACTGTCATTTAGCAACCTTGCCAGATGAACTGAACTTCAGTATATGTATAATTTACATGGAACTCAAGTGGCACAGTCATCTACAGGTTCTTCACTTTACCCACACACTTATTTGGCAAATGTTCATTTTACACACTCCATTACAGATTCAGGAGTTGATAAAATCTCCAGGTGGTCCAAAGGGGAAATAGGCCCTGCTTTCCAAATACTTCCAGTAGGAGACACATTTCAAGTGGTAAAATAATTTTTGACCCTGCAAAGCGTTAAAAGGTAGAAATAGCCAACATTGTGAGTGTGAAAATTTTGGGCTGGAAGAGGAGTACTGTGAATAAATTCAAGGAGGATTTCTCTGCAATCCACCTTCTGAGCTGAGAACTAAAAGTAAGCGATCCAGCCTGATCTACAGAGTGAGTTCCAGGACAAGCCAGTGCTACACAGAGAAAATCTGTGTGGAAAAACCAAAGGCATAGGAAAGAGGAAGAGGAGGAGGAGAAAGAGGAGGAGAAAGAGGAGGAGAAGGAGGAGGAGGAGGAGGAGGAGGAGGAGGAGGAGGAGGGGGAGGGGGAGGGGGAGGGGGAGAAGGAGGAGGAGTAAGAGGAGGAGGAGGAGGAAGAGGAGGAGGAAAAGGAGGAGGAGAAGGAAGAGGAAGAGGAGGAAGAAGAGGAGGAGGAAGAGGAAGAAGAGGAGGAGGAGGAAGAGGAGGAGGAGGAGGAAGAGGAGGAAGACCAGGAAGAGTTGAGTATTGTGGCCACATGGCTGATACACTATGAAACAATAGATGCTATGCAAATGTAGCAGGAAGCTGACTAGCTATTAAAGAAATATAAGAAGGGCTGTAACAAGTTC